CGTCATATCGTAACGTTTGGTTGAACAAAAGACTTACATCACTTTCATCATCTCTCGGCATGCTTCGAATTCTATCTTAGCACTGTATGTGGGGCCTGCCATTTTTTTTATTTCGCTGCAGCAATCGATCGTTCGATCTTGTGGCGAAACAATGCACTATGATTCCTCAACTACCTCTGCAAAGACACGTCACTTCGGGCTATACCGATTTTATGACAGAGGAATCGGTCATGTTTTACCACGGAAGTGTTTTATGCCGAGCTACATCAAGACTTCCTTTAGGTATTTTCGCCATGGATACGACGTTGATAAACTGGATGCCGGTAAATAAATAAAAAAACGTAATTTCTTTCTCTGGGTATCGAACCTACGGCTCTCGGTCCTCGACAATTAGCACCGGGCGCTGCACAAACTGAGTTATCAATACGTTTTCTCTTCATTATGAGCTACCGAAGCAGCTGCGCACCGCACCAGAAACGTGCCTTGTATATCTCACACATTCTCTGGCGCAAGGCGCTCTCTGTTAGAGAGACAAGATGGGGCGTTGTGGTGCCACCGTTTGTGAGCGATAAACGGAAGCAACGCAGGCGTGACACTTACTAGCACTGGTAGCAAACGAATCAGGCAACGACGATACTAAAACCTGGTCTCCGATATTCGCAATCTTGGAAGTCATGGTGATAGCGTGTCAGTACGAGAGAAGAACACTGTCCACTGCTGGCATCGGGCAGGCGTCCTACACGCAGTGGATGCAGTTAGCGACCTCCACGTTTTGTTTTGTAGCTAGGGGGTGACACGGTTCGTTGTCGGAGTCGGGCAGCTTCCAAGTGCGCTGACGGTGTGTCTCCGCTACCGACTGCTTCCAGTGCGACGACACCGGCTAATAACACTACTTCAGTGCACACTACAACAAGCCACTGATGTCGAAAAGAGGCCAGTGGAACGTGTGCGCGTCTTTCGCCGCTCAAGCAACGAACCTCTTGATCCCGTGTCGCCGAAGCACAGTATGGAAGTGTATACCTGAGCACACAGCACAGGCGTTGAATATTGTATTACTCGCAAGCGCACATGTCGTTTCTCTGCGGTACGAGGGACGCCTTGATGAACCTGATATTAAGTGCCGGTAATTATTAGCTACTTCTTGATAACATCGTTGGGTACTCACGATTTCTTCTGTCCAGGTATATGTTAACAATACAACAACCAAAACAGTTCCATCATCAGCATTGGCGTTAGTCGTCGCGATGAAGATGCGCCACTTGGCATCAACGTGGGCCTTCGCCAGCGCTCCCTTATTACACAGCTCACAAACTTTCAAGTATAGTCCGTTTCGAGCTATGTGGGTCTCTTGCAGAGGCGTTGCACTCCTGAGTTCTCCAATAATAAAGGCGCAGGTACGCAGCAAAAAAAAGCGCAGTTCATTATAAATTTAGGCTCCGCTATGTTCTTTGTTTCTTGCACACCATGACCTTAAAGTTTCAAATTAGTGGCAGATTATGACCACGCGCAAAACCTTGTTTCCCTCACCTTATCGAAGCCAGCAGCATGGTAGCTTTTTTGACTGTCGGCAGCGAACCCCGCTGTGCGGAGGACAGATATGTGGGGCTTAACCTCCCAAAACCACCATAAAGTATACATATATGAGAGACGCCGTAGTAGAGGCCTATGAAAATATCGACCACCTGGGGTTCTTTAACGTGCACCCAAATCTGAGTACACGGGCCTACAACATTTCTGCCTCCATCGGAAATGCAGCCGCCGCAGCCGGGATTCAATCCCGTGACCTGCGGGTCAGCAGCCGAGTACCTTAGCCACTAGACCACTGCGGCGGGGGCACGCTGTGCAGTGGAGGAGTCGGCCATACGCACTTCTGAATTTTCACTCCCTCTGCAGGATTGGTGCCTTAGCGTATCATACTATAATATCTAGAGACAAGTAAGCGCTAGTGTCTATGAGGGCTACTACAGCCGCGATCCTACTATACCATCGAAATGACAGGAAGTACAGACTTCGGATCTGGTTCGCATGGAGAACGTTCCTGTGATTAACTATGCTCGTTTGTCGAGTGTAAAAGATATGGATGTCAAAATACTTTGAAAGTAAGCTTGCTTCATTATGTGTGAGTTGGAAGAAAAACTTGGACAATTTTAATCACCATGCAGGTTATGCAGCGCTTTGCATTTGTGTTTCGGGTTTAGAATCACAGTACCATAAATTAATTTTTACCGCACTTTTTTTTTCGGAAGTATGGACTGTCTCTTTATAGAAACAACAGTACTGTACTAGGGGAACATCCTTAACGTATCCTTTTACGCGGTGGCAGGTTCGTCTGTCCAAGTGGCTTGCCCCCAACGCGCATACCGTTTTCTCATGAACACAAGTGAGAGGGGCTTGAAGATGCGTCTTCTCAGTTTCGCCGCTGAATTGGCTATGCATGCTAATAAAAAACCTGGTGTATCCATGTGGTATGAAAATTAGGTATATCATATGGAATATTATTATTATCACATTTCTTTGGTGCTTGTTGCTCTCCTTTCATTCAAACTCATGTATCGAAGTGTATCATTTTTACGATGATGTACGTGGACTGGCGGTGCTAAAAAGTTTCCAGGACATCGCTGCCATGGAAATACATGCGATAGTGGCCTGATAAGTTCTGATCAGGCAGCCTCACACCTTTTCCTTCTTAATTGGCCTATTCTTATTTTTGTATATAACTGCCGCTGTGCTGCTTTCAGTCGTTGCAATGGTGTGGTGGGCGCGTCAGGAAGGCAGAAGACAGCTTTTATTGGCTGCTCCTGTGTCTTTTTGGCGAAAGAGACAAACAATAAAGTGAATCGTATAATGGAAAGTGAGACATGCCCTTCAGAAAAATAGTTCAGTGTTCGTTACACATTGATATATAACGTCTATTTGTGTTTGTTAGTTATTGTACGCTTAGACGTTTACATACGAGACGATGACACTTGATGACACTTCTCATCACGATAAGAAATTACATAGGAAATGAAGATTCTGCACTGTATGCACCGGAAGCATCGCGCAAATTGCACGCGAAGCATTGGTGTTCCCAGACCAAGGAAGCGGAACCAAATGGGTTTTCAATAAATAGTTTTGTCAGCTAACGGTTCACTGCAGTGAAGGGTGCAAAATTTACGGAGTCAGTGATCATCCTGCGGACTGTCATGGGATGCAGAAACGTGTTGGCAAGCCGCTTCCGGCCGCTGGGTCACTTTGACGAAGGTACGATTGTTTCGCTTCTAGGGACGTATGACAGCTAGTGGGGTCGCGATGCACCCAACTTCGAAGAGGCGAGAGGTGGAGTTTTCAGCTTGAGACACGAACGTATGACGGCCTCCCGCTTCTCTATGGCGTGTGCCTCGCTGCACAAAACTCCCTCGCGCAGCATTCGCCCTTGAACGCCGCTGTCTTCCGGTGGTGCTTGATGATTGCGGAGCTATAATGATTGTCTCACGAAACGCAGTGTAGTGCTCAGTTGCTTCAGGTAAGCCTAAGCTTTCATCGGTGGTAGGAACTTCAGCGCATGTGAACTATGTCTCGTCAATTACTGCAGCCTCCAAAATAGACTCAGGGACGCTCTTGCTACGCTTGCGCATCAGTAAGGTGAGCGTTTATCTCCCCTATAGGACGAATTCCATTCAAACAATACCCAACTTCGCCGGTCCTCTGTGGTTCGGTTTAGCTCTATCCTCATAAATAAGAAATGTTGTCACCTCACTTAGCATTCCGCCTTTCATCGCTGGGTTTCATATGTTCAATGAATAGCTACAGCGACTGATACACCCATCGGTATTGGTCACGCTCAGTTATTCACATGTTGTTTATTACGGGTTATTTAGCAGGCTACATAGCAGGTTGTTTAGCGATTTGGCCGGTTATTTAGCACAAGACTTTAAAAACTGTTCTCAATTTTGTAATTATATACCATTTAGACTACGTTCTGTCAAGGTGGTACAGAGGTTAAAGTGCGCGGCCGCCAGGCCTGGACATATCGAAGAAACATGTGTCTTAGATACTATCTTAAATACCCGTTGCGTATCTTGTAGCTGTATCGCGATACATCTGGCGAGACGGTTGTCTGTATCTGCATCTTCGATACATTAAATTATGTATCACGTATCATTAGATAAAAGATACTGCTATGGCAACACTACCGTGCGAAATAATAGTTGTTGACTGAACCCCACTCTTAAAATGTGGTACTTGTACCACTAAGCCACCCGAATAAAACCTATAGCGGGGCCATAATTCTATATTTCTGCCAGAGTGCACGCGAGGACAGCCGATGAAATGTGCGCATTTTTTTTTTTTACGCGAGACAACATGACAGCACTCGAGCAAACTCGATAAAACAAGGGAAGGAAAGCAGACGTTTGTGCTCTTACCCACGTGTCTTTTGTTTTCTCAATTTTTTAACGTTTCCGTTGTATCAGTGCCATAACACTTACACTTTACCACTTTACCACAGCTCGTATCACACACATTGTATGCTGCGAAGATCGCACAAATTTTTATGCCGTTCTCCTTCGTTCAACCTAATTACGACATCTGAACCACGGGGTCACTTTGCATCGCGTGGCTTTCTTGGATAAGCGATTTGAAGGTTCTTGTAGACCTATTTTTAACTTACATGCGATTAACTTATGCCTAAATAAGATAAGCTAGACGCACCCATACCGTTGCGAGTTCTAATAGAACAGGAGTTTATCTAAGAGATATCTTGCCGTTCCTTATCCTTTACTCTCTGCTATTTGAATCCAAAGAGCTCTTGAAATCTTATTAGGATTGTTACCACTTGTTTTTTTAGTTCTCTTCGTATTGCATCCCATCGGCATCTAAAGCTACAAGCAGTTTTTTTTTTAACATGAAAGTGTTTTGTGCCGAGGTCCATCAATACTTCAGTGGCATATTTCCCTCACGAAAATGACGTCGGAAACATGCACACGATTAGATGTCAAAGAAAAAAAATGTTCCGTCAGTGTAATTTCACCAATGAGCAAGACGTTTATTCTTTTTGACACTCTCACGTATCGTGTACCAATTATGTGTGCGAGAAGTTCACTTTGCGTAGGTATAGGGAACTTCAAGGTGATGGTTGCTTACGTTGCAACAACCAGCTAGTTTTTGTGGCCGACAGCAACGGCCACTTCCGCCAAAAGCTCAATTAAGTTCTCAATCTTGCGATCGTTGGCGCTCAGATCGGGCAGTTTGGGTAGTGCCTTGCAAGCTTGGGATCCTTTTTCGTAGTCGCCGCACAGTAGACTCAACGACTCTCTGAACACTCCATCCATCCAGTCGAGGGCGATGCGCTGTCCGCCGCTGCTTTCGCATGGTGTCAGCGGCTTCTTGGCACAACTCGTCAATTCTTGGAATGAGCTGCATGTGCATGCGCAAGAGAACCAGTAATGAATAGAGTAAGTTTCATGAGCGAGGTAATATACATGCAAACATACACTACATTACAATATGTAGGCTCTTTCTGAGTTCGTCAAAAGGTTACCGGGAGAAAATTTTCAAACAAGACCCACATCTCACACAATACACGCACAATACCTGTGACGAGCGATAGCAGACGACGCTCGATGCGCGCCTTTGCGCGAGGAAAACAAAGTAGATCGGTGCCAAGCTCGCGGGCGCTCGAGGAACGTAAAATAAAAAAGAGTGGTCTGGCAGTGCCTTTCTGACCTGAAAAGAGTGTGGACGTCCTTCTTAGGCCGCCTCGGAACCCAGTACATCCGACGACCACAATGGCACGTCACAATACAGTTATTATACATTTCAAACATACTGGAAAACAAGGAAAGTTTCTTCGAAATTTTGTGTCTGATAGTACAGAACATAAACATACTGTTAAACGTATCCGAGCGTTTCCTTCCACTTAATGGGTATGTGAATAATGTTAAATGGCGCGGGTGCAGGCGCATATCTTCGGACGTCTAAGTTTATAAGCCTGCCAAAACTATATGTGAAACTATAATACTGATAATATCGGAAGTTTCGTGCAAAAATCATGACATGGTTAGGAGGCGTTCCGTTCTGAATGGCTCGGGAAAATTCGACCAGGTGGTGTTTTTTAAGGTGCACAGACACCGAATGTGCACTGGCATCTAGCATTACGTCTGCGTGCAAATGTGACCACCATAGCCGGGATCAAATTTGAGACATCCTGGTCAGCAGCCGAACATCATAGCCGCTGAGCACTGCTTCGGACTTTTTTTCATTTTTGAAGCTTCTTGGAACTAGAACGTGGATGCCTAAGGGTGTCTTCTGTTTGTTTATCTAATGCTTTTTTCCAGCACGCCTCTTTTATATGCCATAAAACGCAACTCCCAAGCTTACTGTCAGGGAAAGAATAATAATGTGCCTGTGAGAAATTATTCTAGACTGCATCTAGCACAGGGTGAAAACTAGCGTATCTCAAAGAATTTAGGCCGACCTCGTCTAACCCAGCGCAAGCGGTCTTCGTACTGATCCCATCTTTTTTTTGTTTATTAAGAAACCTGGCACAACCACCACTTATATAAAACCACCAAATTAAGTGTATTGATTTTTCTTTAGAACGAAAGCAGTTAAGCGATCACAAGGACCAGTTGTGACCCGAACATGTGTAATATCGCGTTTTAGAACAGCAAAGAAACAACCTGGCGTAACGCAGTGCGAATTGCGTAACCAGTGCGTCATTGAGTGCTCCAACCCGTTACAAAACTCCAGGCCTGCGCGGAAGGCGCAGCACAGTCACAGGGAAAGCTAGAAAAGCGGCCTTCCAGAGCCTCTTTTAAACACACATTAGGTAGTTGCTGCAAGCACACTTGCTTGATGCCCACTATGGCAATAATAATAAAATTTGTGGGGTAGTATGTCCCCAACTGCTACGCTATTTTTCGTCATTCTTCTAAAAGCGTGGTAATCCCTAAACTATTGCGTGGAATTTCGTGCCATTTGTTCATGCAGTGGCTGACCATGATGAAGAATTATGCCTAAAGTGTGTATGTGGCACAGTTATTATCTGAACAAAAGCAAGCTTTTGTAATGGGTTTGAGCATTGCATGACTTAATCGTTACGCTATTCACATTGTGCGATGACTGCTTGTTCTTTCGCTGTTATAAAACGCTTTATAAGTCGTATTAACGCGATTGCTTTCCCGACATCAAGCCTGCCTGGGCAAGTTTGCCAACGAGTCCCAAGCACCGGCATGGCTGAGTAGTAGAATACCGGGCTGGCACCCAGCGGACCCGGGTTCAAGCCCCACTGTATCATTGGTGCAAGGTTATTTTTTTAATTCACCCGATGTGGTTACGGACACCGGCGGCGGCGGCGAACAACTAAAGCGCCGCGCGGGACCCGAGTCGTGATCTCATAACAGCTTTCGCTGTGAAGGTATAATTCTTCATCGTCGTCAGCCATAGCATCATCGAAGTACACAGTATGCCTTGCAAGTGTGTAATGGGCGTGATACTTACCCGCAGAATGACGAAGTATGGCGTAGTGGAGGCCACTTCACTGCACGAAATTAATGATGATTTACGGCATTGTGGGTATCATGCAATTGTGCTTGTTGTAGTTGCTCCCAGAATGCTTTAAAAAGGGGGTTTCTAGGAAGGCCGCTCTTGCAGCTTTCGCTGTGACAGTGCTGCGCGTTCAGCGCAGGTCTGGCGGGGTTTTTTTTTTTTTTTCGTGATGCACACATTAATCGGCAAAATGTGGGCACATCTGGTCTGTATGCTTATTGCGTCACCCGTAAGGTAATCTGACATTTAAGTTCGAGAATAATCAAAACGGAATTGATATATGAAGTTGTCGGCACATTGTAAACACAACAGAACAAAGATCCTTGTTAGCTACTCTGTAACCTTTACTGGTGATTTTCCCGCCTAACTGATCATTGCTTAGATGTTCAGCAGAATTAGATTAGAAGGTTTCATAAAAGCGCACTTTTTTTTTTCGTGGTCAGTAGAGCACACAAAAAGCAGACGAACGGGATTCCCATATTTGGGCCATTGCTCACCAAGGACACCAGCCAGTTTAACGATCAGCTCAAACGTACTTCAGCAACTGCGCTGATTTTTTGCCTTAAAAACAGTGTAGCGCTAGAATACTTCTGAGAACGAAATTTTTTGGTCACTTGGGATCCTTCAGAATTTCACACATGTCGTGGGGGTCTTGTTTGTCGGAAAATTTATTCGGACAGCATCATTTCTCGTTGTATTACGAAATGTGCTTTATATAAGTGAAGGCCCTTGTGGAAGGTGTCTGGGGCTCAACAATTATGTTGCAATTTTGATTTTTATGCCTCCCCCCTCTAGAAATTTCCACACAAAGTACTATAGTTTCATTGCTTCCCTTGTACTATTACACTATATATGAATATACTAGTGTTCAATACTTACTCTAAGGGAAGCAAGCAAAAAATAAATGGAGGATGTGAGAGAGTGCGTTAAGCGCGAAATTTAATTGCTGGACAGATATATCACAGCAGAAGGGAGGGTGAGTGACAGGGTACGGATTTGGTGTCGCCTCTGTGTTCTGTTCTCAACATCTTTGCCGGTCCTCCACTTTAAAAAAAGTGTAATGTCTCACAACTTTAGTGAAGGGGCCGCTGCGTATGTTTCGTTATAATTAGTACATCAACACCATAACATCCATTGCATATGGTACTCACCAGCACGTGTAGAAGATTACTTCATTAGTGCGTGCCTTGAGTACAGCTCTCCGAACGCTTTCTCGGAAGGTCGTCCAGCATGAGTTCAGCTCTGTGCCGACAGAGTTTATGCAGCCGACGGCTTTCGCAAACGCTGTATAGAAAATGGATTATAACTGATAATGGTTATTCTGTAAAAATAACAATGAATAGTTCATTAGAATATATTTTTGTGCGTTTGTACATTCGTCGGCCAGCTTTAATGGCAACAGTGCCATTCATGCAGGCGTGTGTCCTTGCAAAGCACAGTCATAAAGAATATAGATTCAACATAAGTTTTACACTGCCACAGTAGGAGTAAAAATTTCACCCGACAAGGTATAAAGCGTTGCTTGTGACGAAGAACTGCAGCTGTGCGTGGTTGCGTGTGCACTATCAATGCCTCCACGAGATATTTCGCATGGACTCGCCTTCACAGCCTTCGACCTGTATTGGCGCGTTTGAGAAACATCGATTATTTACTGCAGTCGGAGTTTTTATTCTTGGCCCAGCAGTCGAGAATTTCAGGTTACGTTTCTTTCATAAGGAAATCGGTTATAATTCCACCCGACTGCACGCCATCACCGACTTGACTAAACCAACACGTATTATATATTTGTGAAGTTTTAGAGATATTTCTCACTTTAAACACTTCACTCGAAATTTAGCCGCCAAGAATCCACCGTTCCCGACGAAGCGGCTTCAAATAAACTCAGCCTTGCGTAACGAACGCGCAAAACTGAGAGCAACACAATTTTTTCTTCTTTCTGTCTGACGGTGGCCACCCATGGCACACAATCGACACAGTTCTTTAATACCAACCTGAAATACCTTAACATAGAGGTATTTCTGCCATTGCTCAAGAATGTCGCTATATACATCGAACGTGCCTCGACTTCAACTGAGCGAAAGCGCCCTAAGCGCACTCGTGGTGACACCACTTTGGCGCCCACCATTCTTTTTAAAATTAAATGTATATAAAAATCTCGTTGCCAATGCGCGGCGCCGGCTACTCCAATACTCTTGCACAAAAGCCATCATCTTACGTTACAAAACATACACAAGGCTTTACAAAGGCACAGAGTACAACTTTCACGAACTGGGTCTAAGTTGTTCAATACGAAATTCTGTACACGCAAGACAGTAGTTGAAAAAAAAAAAAGAAGTGATCAGGATTCAGATGTTCATACAAAACTTCAAAGTTCACTAAAGTGTTGCCAAAGGTGACCACGTCTTTTCGGGGCAGTCGCTTAAATGCGGCCCTGTATCTGCAACAGTTTGGTTTTCACATAGAGTTATCTGCCAAAATCAAAACAACAGAATATTGTAGCAATTTATGCCAGTTAGAAAAAACTTGAACACATTTTTTTCTGACTTAGTACTTTTTGAAATATTTTTGATTCCACCAAGTATTGAACTCCTGCAAGTGCAACAGTGCATGCGCACTGGTTTCTATTCGAAGCTATGCTACTGAAGTCTGAAAGTTCTCACAGCATCATCGAAGGAGAACGTCAAGTGCGAGTCGTTTGTAGAGCCCGGGGCACCGCGAACAATTCCGCGCTGTTTTGACGTTTTAGGTCTGCAGTGCCCCATAGCGTATCACAATGTGATTGTATTGTGATCGTAGTTACGAGCTGTGAGGTAGCAGGATCTTTGCCTGTTGATTGTTGTAGATAAATGAGGAGAACGACCGTGGTAGTGTGTCATGATTTTTGATGACGTTCCTCCTGAACTTCATCACAATCAGGACACGTGCGTCACGAACCGCGGCTGTGCTTAGAATCCCTAGCGTATTTCGATGGGCTGTCCCTAGGGCTGCTGAGGAAAGAGCATGTTAACTTCACTCAATGAAAGATAGTTTAATTATTCTCACAGTATCGGACGTTCTCTGAAACCCTGTGCCACGGAATGTCATGCTGCGGCAGCATGAATGCCTAGTGTCCCATGTGTTCAAGGACTTTGGTAAAAGTGTACAGTAGCGCTAAATATAACTCCTAAGGGAGGGCATTCATTCATCCAGTGCAGGAATGCAAGCGATAAAAAGTACTGTAGAACACGCTGTACAGGTTCTACTGCAATGTCTCTCTACTTGGCGCTAAATTCCTTGTCGTATTAATTATTCGAAGATATCTTTTTGTCATAAGATAAGAGTGTTAACAGCAAGAAGAGAAAGACAACGTCTACATATTACTTATTCTACAATATACATGCACCAAATGGAACTTCGCTCAATTCTACAACGATCATTTTGTGCGTGTGACGCTACACTTGTTTCTTAGCTGGGTTGCTGTGTCGCTAAGCACACTGACGCTTAGTTCAAACATAGAAATAATTTTTTTCCACAATAAATATGTCTTTTTGACACAGGGTTTTACGACATGAAGATGTCTCAATTCACGATTTGATTGACCTGCTCAACTCCGTTTCGAATCTGAAGACGTGGCACAAAGCATTCGCTGGGGACGAAAATGACAAATGTCCTTCATTATATTAGAGAGACTCCGCACAAATGATTTGTCTAGGGAAAAATAATTTAGATAAAAAACAAGCAGCATCGTGTTAGCACCCTCCCCACGTTTTCGTGACGTGGAAGAGAGCTCAGAGATTCTGAGGTTATTGTGCTGGACACACATCATGCCGAAGGAGCTTGATGTGTCCTAGTTGGTGTAACAAATTCTACGCTGGGTAAAAACATGGGTGTCATAAGAAAACACATGCGCTTGCCTGTTGTGTTTTCTTCTGGAACTCGCGTTTTAACAGCAAATTTCTGGGATCATCAAAAAAAAAAAAAAACTGGGCGAGAACTCCACAGAAACCGGGAATGTACGAAGTATATCATCGTATATAGAATAGCCATGCGTGGAATATGTTAGCAAAGTGTTGAGAAAGGAAATCGAGGAGGATGAGGAAAGCAAAGAGGGGGCAAAGGAGAGGCCAAATCATTGCATAGCCTTGCACTGTGTAATTTAGCAAGAGTATGGCGCAGGCAAGTGGTGGTGGGCAGTATATTTATGACACTAGTGGGAAGTAGGGCAAAACGATTGAAATGAATGAAGTGACAGGGTAAAGCATATCATAACTTTGCATAGTGCAGAATTTCAAGAAATTGGAAAAAAAGCTTGCCATGCGGCTCCAAGGATCGCAGGAGAGTGAGCTCATGAGAGAAACTTGAGTGCGAAAAATGGGAAAAAATGGATGGAGAGGGTAACGCCTTGCATTGCCTTGTGTAGTGTGCCAGATAAATAAATGGGAAATGTTAAAAGTGTTGAGCATCACAGAATATTGGAGGGTGGAGGCTAAGACATTTTATGCAAAATAATAAAAACAAAAACGCCGACCAAGGTGAAATACACACAACTTAAAAAGACGTTTCGGCTCCCCACACGGGAGCCTTGTTCACAGTGACCGCAAATGGCGTAGTGCGCTCTTCTCATGCATGTTTAATCACGCGTTGCAGATATCACGCGTACACAGGGGGTAGTGTCCCAATATTTCTGTTCAACGTATGCGCAGTTGTTTTCATGGCCAGAGATTCCATATACAATCGTGGTAACAACTTTCTTTCCGTGGCAATGATGCAGGTTTTATCCCAGTCTATAGCGTGCCCAGTAGACGCAACATGTTCTGCGAGGGCATTAGATGCTACTTTCTTGTTCTTGACATCATTAAAATGCTCCCAGAGCCTTCTTTTGTGATTGCCCGTTTCGCCAATGTATCCGTATTCACAGTCTTTGCAAGGAATTTTATACACCACGCCGGGAAAATCATGTCTGTCCAACTTATCTTTGACATTTGTAAGACGGCCTCGGAGCTTTCGTGTCCGAACGTGAGCCACTTGGACGTCGTAGCCGCGCAATACCCGAGCGACGGTCTCGCTGAAGCCTGGGACGTAAGGCACCGATGCGCGTCTTTTTGTAGCAATGGTGTGTGACTGAGCCGGCCGCTGCAGTTGTCGCTGCACCGAGTTCATGAAGGAAAGCGGGTATTCGCAAGTAGCCAGCTCCCGTCGAACGGGCTCAACATCTTCTACTGCGTCTTCTTCCTTAGAACAAATTCTCCAAGCGCGCTTTACGAGTGTAGACACAACAGAACGTTTATGGCAGGATCAGTGCACAGAATTGAAGCTTGGAAAACGACCGCTGTGTGTTTCTTTTCTATACACGCTGAAAGTCAGGCGCCTACCGTCTCGTTTCGCGAGGACGTCAAGAAATGGAAGGCATCCATTTGATTCTTCTTCCGCGATAAACTGTTTCGCGGATTCCACAGAATTTAGCTGTTCCAAGAATACTGGCAGGGCATCCCGTTGCAAAACACAGAAACAATCATCCACTTATCGAAGGAAAGTCTTGGGCGGGGCAGCAAATGAAGTGAGAGCCCAGTTTTCAACAGCCTCTATGATAATGGTTTGCGATAGTGACGGACACAGAAGATCCCATTGCAGTGCCATGCACCTGCTTGTAGTATTCGCTCCTGAATATAAAGTAGGCGTTCTCCAAGCAGAACTTACGCAACCGTAACAGATCAGGAACATCGATGGGCGTTCTGTCATACAATGATGGGTCTGACTCAAGGGCTGTCTTGGACACGTCGATTGCCAGACCAACAGGTACACTTGTAAAAAGCGACCGTACATCAAAAGATGCTAGAACATCATTGTCATCTAGTACCATGTCGCGTACCTTATCAATGATATTACTGGAATTCCTTAAGTGCGTTTCACTTTTTCCAACGAGCGGCGAGAGGGTTCTGTGTAGGTAAGTCGAAAGCTTGTTCAGAGGCGACCTTGTAAAATCGACAATCGGGCGGATTGGGACACCTGTCTTGTGAATCTTAGGCAGTCCATACATAGCTGGCGCTGATCCATTGTTACAAAGAAGAGAGTAATATAAAGACTTCTGTGTAGGCGGCACGAAGCGAAAGACGTCTGCTAGCAGCTTTAGGAGGTCCCTTTGAAGTTTTGCTGTCGGGTCGCTATGTAGTGGAAGGTACGTGCTGGCATCCTCGAGAAAGGGCGTTAATCTTGTTCACGTAGTCATTCGTGTCGAGCAAGACAGTAGCGTTGCGCTTGTCCGCAAGAAGTATTACAATGTCTTTATTAGTAGTGACTTCACCGCCGTGAAGTTCTGCTCAGGTCAGAGGGGAAGGCTGCATATGACGAAGTGAAGAGAGCACAGACACAGCACGCGTACGGGCTTCGTCTATACGAGAAAGTTCTACGAGGCTCACAGTGTTCTCGACGGCGCAAATTATCTTCCCACGGTGTGTTTCAGGACTCGTATTGAAATCGAGTCCCAGACTTAGGACCGCAGTCTCAGCGACGTTTGGCTTGTAGGAAGAAAGGTTATGCACAGTGCATTTGCCTGGCGCACGCGCACCCTTCGCATGTCGCTGTTGTAAGCTAGCCAGCTTCTTTTCGTGCGATTGTTCACAACGAAGGCTCTGAAGCATGGCGTTGCAATTCGCGTGTTGCTGTGTGCTCGCGAATTCGTCCGGGCACTCGAATTCAATGCGGCGCTGGGCAAAAAAGGCATCATTTTCTAAGCTTCGTCTGCCGGTTTTTCCAATCTAAAATTCTTGCTTGAAGTAGCTGTCGCTCTGCCTTCGAAACAAGGCTGATGCCAAACTTTGTGGGTACAAGTCTGTTTAAAAGAAGAGAGCGAGGAATCATACCTTGAGCTTTGCAGGCCAGGTTGAACTTCAAGTGGCACTTGAAGGAAGCCACCTTGCAGGACAGCGTGACTTAACGCCGAACTTGCTGGATGAAGGCGTGGCAATACGCCTTGCGAAGGCTTATATAGTCAAGAGTCCGACGGAATCCCGTCTGGTCGGGGACAAAAATAATGCAAAATGTTTTGCACTGTGTTTGTCCCCGACCAGACGGGATTCCGTCGGACTCTTGACTATAAGACCTTTCACATAGCCACGTATATTACAGCATAGCAAGTGCGGAAGAGAAGTGGGAGTAAGGAGCAGTGGAAGTAGAAGCGAAAAGGGTAGAGCAGAGGTGTCAGACACGCCAGCCACGACTTCCCAAGTAGCAATCAGGCGCTGCGCCGAGCTCTCAACCGGACTGCAGAAATTAGGTGCTTTTTTCTTCTAACCCCTACTACCAACAGCACGCAGCAAGTTTTGTGGCTTGGATAAATAGCATTCACCGTAATTTCTCGCCTGTTCAAATGAGTAAAGCTTTCTTCGGGTAAGCTACACAGATAGGACTGCTACCAAGCATTTTTTTTCGCGAGGCACCTCATGCGTCTACTATAGATTAAAACATCCCCGTGGAATGAAAACTAAATGTTTAACAATCTGACACGTTACATGTGACATATAGGACAGATATCAAAATCGGTGTTCAGAATTTAACAATTGCAGAAATCAGTGTTCACTTGTTGTACCATATCTGACGTCATATCCCCTTCAAAAAGGACCAATATATGAAATATAGGAAATTATTTCTGTCAGACGGCAAATTTAGGCAACATTTTCTTCATTCATTACCCCCTCCCCCACTTCCGCCAGCTTGACTGTCCCGGTCCTTTTGGAACTGAACTTCGTTACTCCGGTTGACTAGCTGACTCAGCTCGCTAAATGACTGTACCAGCTTTACCTGCGAGAAAGTGTGCTTCAGTCATCTGCATTATAATACGGTTAGAGGGTGTGAAAGAAAAGCGAAGGAGAGGAGAAGGTAATAGAGAAGTGCAAGGCCAGCAGCTGCACCGTTTGACCAATATTCTCACGATTAGTGCGTTGCTGCCTCGAATTGGTTGCTTGCCGTGTTCTATAAGTTTAACTAAACCACACTCGCGAATATAATGAAGCGCAATTAAACTCCCCATTTTCAATAAAATGACCACCCGCAAGGCAGGCTTTCAATACCGCTTAAGCAAACATTAGGAATCGTACATTCGTGTTGTTTTGAAGCCACGTTGCAGATGCCTTCCACGTTCTCCTTAAAACCACGGACAACCGGCAACGAAGCGACCTTGGTCACACCTTCCATGCACTCGTTGACGAACTTTTCAGTGCACGCGATCTGCTGTTTGTGGCTCCTGCAATTGAAAAAAAAAAGAATGTTTAAAAACAGATGACGTTAGCTCTGCACATATCTACCTATAACTTTAGCAATTTCGGTTCTAGGAGGGTCAGAGTGGTGTCTATTTGTTCGTGAAGATACAAGGAGTTCAACCGCTACAAATACTGCTATTACAAACGAAAATTTTAAATTTTAGGATAGGAAAACAGTGTGAATCTGTGAAAACAACAACAGTCGGACCACGTGCTTTTTTACGATTGCTTGTAGCTTCGTTATTATTGTACCGGGAAACTTCTTATAAAGTTGAAAGTCCTTGAGGTAGACCTGACGCTACTGAAGTTTGATCAGGCTAGGTTTAATAGCTCCAGAATTATACCGCAATCAATGTTAAGCCTAATCACTAAAAAGAATAAATTTGTAATATCACCTCGCAAACGCATTTAAATTTTGTCCGCTTAATATAATAATAAACCGCACCCCATAGGCTACCAGGAGGCCCAATTCTGTACACAATTCTAGGCCCTTAGTAAGGTGGTAATCAGCAAAAAGCTCATTTTTAATAAAACAAATTTTCAAAAGAAGCTACAAACGCCACCGAAAAATAGGTAATATCTTCTTTTAGAACACAACAGTCCGGTTTTTTCCGTGTAAAAATAATTTTGAAAGCTTAAGGTAACCGGAAGATACAGAGTTAGAAAGAATATAACGAGAACCGCAAATAAACGTGTGGCGCCTGCGTCTTTCCTCGCTCTCGCTCAGAGGAGGAGGGTGGCTCACTGCTCGGGAGAAAGGTACGCCCGTCAGATAAATATCTTGAACCACGTGTTTTTTTTCCTTACGATCGCTTTTAACTTTGCTAATAACCTACCGGGAAACTTCTAACTCATACAGTGCAAAGCCCTAGTTGTAGACCTGTCGCCGCTCAGGTTTCATCAGGACAGGAGCAATGGTACCGGAATTATTTCGTGACCAAAATTAAGCCTAATCACTAAAAAGATTAATTTGTTAACATCACCTCACAAACGAATTGAAATTTTGTCCGCTTATAATAGGAGTGAGTGAGTGAGAAAGGAAAGGCCGGGAGGTTAACCAGATATTGGCATCTGGTTTGCTACCCAGCGCTGGGGGTGGGGAAGTAGGGGCAAGAAAGAGGGGTTAGAGAGAGCGAAAAAAACGCACGCGCACTCATAAAAAAAACGAAAACACACACTGGAAGGGCGTCCCAGCTACAACCGTTCAGCAGGGCCGGTCAATCGCAAAAAGTTCAGCAGCGCTTTCAGGGCCCTCTTCTGTGAAGTCGCATCCTGACGATACTGCAGAATTTCCTGCTCCGACAGAGGCTGATCATCTAATTTGTCGAGTTCCCTGCGAAGGCGTAGTCGCCACCTACTATACGCTAGGCACTCACACAGAACATGTTGAATGGTTTCCTCCTTGCCACAGTGGCCACAGGCTGCGGTGTCGGCCATCCCAATGCGGAAAGCGTAGGCGTTGGTAAATGCAACGCCCAACCACAGCCTACATAACAGGGTCTGGTCTGCTCGGCGAAGCCTCGACGGGACTTGAAGACTTAGCGTAGGGTCAAGCGAGTACAGTCGGGCATGCTTGAAGTGCGGCTGATTCCATTGCGATGTGGTTTGCCGGCGAGCAAGTCTGCGGAGCTCTCGTGCAGCATCCGTCCTAGAAAGTGGTAGCCGCAGTTTATGATTTTCTGTGTGGGCTGAGCGGGCAGCTTGATCGGCCCGTTCATTGCCGATGATTCCGCAGTGACTGGGCAACCACTGAAATGTAATTTGGTGCCCTTTCTCAGTCAGGTGGTGTATAATATCTGCTATCTCTAGTACCAGCTGCTCGTGTGGTCCACGGCGTAAGGCTGATAGTAGAGACTGCAGTTCCGCCTTCGAGTCGCAGAAAATAGTCCACTTGCGCGTAGGCTGATCAACTACAAATTGCAACGCGGCACGAAGTGCTGCCAATTCTGCTGCCGTTGATGTTGTTGCGTGAGATGTCTTGAATTTAATTGTCGTGGCCAACCTTGGTATCACTACTGCTCCTGTAGAGCTGTCCGGCTGAACCGATCCGTCAGTGTAGATATGTGTGGAGTCTTGATATTTCTCATACAAGAGAAGTAGTGTGAGCTGTTTAAGAGCCGGTGACGACAAATTGGCCTTTTTCTCGACGCCAGGTATGTTAATAATAATTATTGGTTGAGCGAGGCACCATGGCGGAGTCACAGGTCTAGCGGCAGGAGAGAACGAAGTTGGGATCGACTCACCATGTGCGGTCACTGTTTTGCAGTAAGATGTGCATGGTCGGACCACTGGTAGAGAGGCTAGGTGATGTCGAGGGGTTCGAGCAAGGTGTCGTATATGTGTCCTCAGCACTTCCACATTAATGTGGGTCTTGAGGAGGTTGTCCCTTGTGATGGCGATAGTCGCCGCTGTTGATGCACTTTGGGGCAAGCCTAAACATATCCGGAGTGCTTGGGCCTGGACACTTTGAAGCATTCGTATGCTTGTTTTACTTGTGTTGGTTAACACAGGTAGGCTGTACCGAAGGAATCCAAGGAAAAGAAACCTGTATAGTCGCAACATAGCAGTTGTGGACATTCCCCAGTTCTTTCCAGCGAAGAACTTGAACAAATGACAGATGCCTGTCAATCGCCTTTTCATGTATGATACATGTGAGCTCCATGAGAGGTCTCTGTCAATTATAACACCTAGGAACTTGTATGATCTGAGGTGACGTATTCTTTCGTTGTTTATCAGAACGCTGTAGTTATAATATAATAAACAGCACCCCATAGGCTAATCGGAGGCCCAACTCTGTACTCTCTAGGCCCTTAATTAAGGGGGTATTCAGCAGAAATCTCATTTTATTAAATTTTTTTTATAAAAATAACCACAAACTTGACTGATACACTGCTGAAACCTACATTTAGAACATAACAATCCGGGTGCGCTTATGGCGTAGTGGTTAGAGCATCCGCCTCGCATGCAAGAGGCCCGTGGTTCAAATCCCGGTGCCGCGCAGTTCCCAACCAGATTAAAAAAAATCCGCGTGTTGATGCAACTGCATTAAGAGGCCTGGGGTGCGGCCTCACCGGTAACCACCGCCGGGAACGCACTCCCTCACCAGAGGATTGGCCACCCTGGTGCTGTATCTGGCCACTACCTCCCACATGCATACGTCAAATAACTCACGGCCCTCAGTCCCCAGCAGCTGGAAGCAACTGACCTCGGCGGCGGTCAGATCTGCAACGCAGAAGAGGGTGCTAAGAATCTCTGGATCCGGACAGGCCGCTATTGGAACCTGAACTTTGCAACATTTAACGCTAGAACCTTATCTAGTGAGGGAAGTCTAGCTGTACTATTCGAGGAGCTAGAGGATCTTAAATGGGATATAAGAGGGCTCAGTGAGGTTAGGAGGACAGATGAGGCCTATACTGTGCTACAGAATGGGCACGTTCTTTGCTATCGGGGCTTGGCAGACAGAAAAGAACTGGGAGTGGGGTTCCTAATTCACAGAAACATAGCTGGTAACATAGAGGAATACTATAACATTCATGAAAGGGTGGTAGGTATTGTAATTAAACTGAATAAAAGATATAAGATGAAGGTAGTACAGGCTTACGCGCCTACATCAAGCCCTGATGACGCTTCAGTTGAAAGCTTCTATGAAGACGTGGAATCGGCAATGAGTAAGGTAAAAACACAGTATACTATAGTGATGGTCGACTTTAATGCAAAGGTGGGGAATAAGCAGGCTGGAGACCAGGCAGTAGGAGATTATGGCATCGGCACTAGAAACGCCACAGGAGAGCTACTAGTAGAATTCGGAGAACGCAATAATTAGCGGATTTTGAATACCTTCTACCGAAAACGAGAAAACCGCAAGGAGACATGGAGGAGCCCTAATGGCGAAAATAAGAACGAAATAGACTTTATAATGACAGCACACCCAGGCATTGTGCAGGATGTGGAAGTGGTTGGCGAGGTACGATGCAGTGACAATAGAATGGTACGGTCTCGAATTCGCCTAGACTTGAAGAGGGAACGACAGAAACTCATACGCAAGAAGCCAATCAAAGAGCTAGCAGTGAGAGGGAAAGCACAGGAATTCAGAGTGTCACTGCAGAACAGGTACTCGGATCTTAGTAAGGAAACCAACCTTAGCGTAGATACAATGAATGATAATCTGACGAGTATCATTACGGAGTGTGCAGTGGAAGTTGGAGGCCGGGTAGTTAGACAGGACACTGGCAAGCTTTCCCAAGAAACGAAGAACCTAATTAAGAAGCGTCAAATCATGAAAGTGTCAAGTACAACAGACAAAATAGAACTGGCAGAGCTTTCGAAGTTGATTATTAGGCGTAAGGTATGCGATGCAAGAAGGTATAACATGGAGAGAATGGGACACGCTCTGAAAAACGGAGGAAGCGTCAAAGCAGTGAAGAATAAACTTGGGATAGGCCAAAGTCGGATGTATGCACTAAGGGACAAAGAAGGCAAAATAACTACCAATATGGATAGGATAGTTAAAATAGCGGAGGAGTTTTACAGAGATCTGTACAGTAGCCGAGACAATCACGACCTTAATACTATAAGAACTAGCAGTAACCCAGATGACACCCCACCTGTAACAATAGAAGAAGTCAGAAAAGCTTTGGAGAGCATGCAAAGAGGCAAAGCTGCTGGTGAGGATCAGGTAAGATCAGACCTGCTGAAAGATGGAGGACAGATTAGAATTAGAAAACATTAGATTAGAAAACAGATTAGATTAGAAAACATTAGAATTCAATCAACCAAAGGAATAAGCAGGATTTCGAACAGGCTACTCAACAATTGACCACATTCATACTATCAATCAGGTAATAGAGAAATGCTCAGAATATAACCAACCACTATACATAGCCTTCATAGATTACGAGAAGTCGCTCGATTCAGCAGAAATATCAGCCGTCATGCAGACACTGCGGAATCAGGGCGTCGATGAAGTATATATAAACATTCTGGA